ACGGACAGTACGATTAAACGATTAAACGATTAAACGATTAAACGATTACACGATAAAACGGCTGTCCTGAGGCGTGACACGAAGCGGTGCGTCTAATTTTAGATTTAATGATATTTCCCATGAAAACAAACTGACTAAAATCACAAGCGATATATCTATGTACTCGCGCGTCTCTTCTGAAATATTTAATAACTCGCATGTCTTCGCCTTGAAAGGACTCGTCCTCCTGATATTACGTTTATGCTTACGACAATAAGGTTATCTCCCTTCCTCAGTCATAAGATCATTTAAATATTCCTAAGATATTCCGCAGGCATCCGAAGGATCGCTAAATCTCAATGTCTCAATCGCAATGTCATTCCTCAAATATTGACCAAGCTGAGAGCGCCAGTCGCTTTCCTTTGAATCTCTCGATACATCAAACTTTTTCAATATAAATAATACTTGAGTTTCTTGCGTCATCCTCGTGCAGCTTTTGCCACTGGATCGCGCCTGACGCTCGCGTCGACTCTCAAATTCAATTTCTTTAATACTTTCAAAGAGACGTCAATATATCCGACAAGCGTATCGAGCTCACGAGACCTCTCAGAGACACACCATTGAGCGATGGGAATAACTGTTAAGGGATTCGAGTTACGGTTCGATCGAACATCCAAAATGGGAATAATGGGCGAATTTGCAAGAGTCCTTGAACGAGCTAGACCAGCTGATTGCGAGTAGAAGACATAAGACATAAGAGACCTGTTGGAGCAGCTCGAGCACCAGAGCGAGAAGGTGCATCGCGTGACGGGGGTTCACCTGCCGAACTATTGGAAATGCTGAGAACGTTCCGGTAAAACGCAAGAGCAGCCTTAATGGAGCGTCATCAGTCGAAATAACCATCCATAAATCATGTGCACGTCGGCCGACTGGAATTTCGAAACTCGAGAGCAGGATGGGAACTCCTAAAGGTTTCGCTTCGCTCGAAGCGCCTTGGAAGGTGAAGAAACGGGTCCAGTGGAAGCTGCTTAGCGTGACAACGACAGCTTCAGCGCATTCATCTTTTGTACATCTTTGCCCTCGTCTGACAATCAGACGCAACCGCAAACGCAGAACCCGCGAGGATTTGCACCTCCGTGAGGAGCCAAATTAGGGGTTTTGACAGTTTCAGGGCCAGTTATGGCTTTCGTTTCTCAGCCCACTGAGGCTACTGCTGTTACACGACCGGTCCCGTTGCGTCACAGATTCCTCCCCAATGAATGTCAATCTAAGATTAGACGCGAAACGGAAGACACGTCAATCTCGACTAGGAATTGGATCGGGGAAGATCCGAAGAAGCGAAAATCTCAAGGACAAAGACGTAACGTTTCAAGTTCAACTTGAAAGGGTCTTTAGGCCGAAAACCAGCAGGAAAAGCTCCGGGGCAAATAACTCATGAGATTTCCGAAATTAATCCGATTAAAGAAGATTAGTCTGGGTCGGGATAAACTTATTTTGAGCTACATTCATGAATCTCCTCCCAGCCGTGCAGCAACTACACGCGAGTCGCGTGTAACATATTTTTTCGAGATTTTCGTTCTCTCTTTCTCCTCCACCTTAATGGCTACTTGCACCGAGTGTAATCGCAATACGAATGCCCAGGGGCAAAAGGAGACATTTTCTGAGCATTCTCGAGGACTCCAGTCTTTATAAAATGACGGAAAATCACGGAAAATCACGGTGCAAATCGAATCAAAGTCTGAGTCAGTCGGAGATATTGAACTTGCGAAAGATCTTTATTGTGCCTGAATCGAAGGTGAATCAGTCCTTTGAAGTTCGTTTACCCTTGAGGTCAAGGTTGGTAGATTATCAAATTTCATCAAGCTACTCATTAACTTAATGAACTTCCCGCGATAGGAAGAAATTCAATCTCGAAAAATCGAACAAAGAAATTGGGTGGCTGCGGATCATAGAAGGAGGGAACATTCGACTGGAGAGTTTCCATAACTACGAAGCCTGCTTTACGAAGTGTTGCCAAACTTTGTACAGCCTAACAGGAATGGCGCGATTAGCAGGAAGCTGCACAGACGGCAGTTGACACTGCAAGAGTAAAAGGTATCGGGAAAGTGTTTTTTTGTGTTAAAATTCTACCATAGAGATAACGGGTAATAGTGACGTCACTCGCAGGCCTATGTGGAATATCTAATCAGTAATCAGAGATGCTCCGCGGTTGGCTCGCAAAGGAAGAAGGATGAGCTAGGCGCCAGCGTCGTGTAATTTTCGTGGATTAAAACTCCCATTGTGGATCCCATTTTATCTTTGCCATTTTATTATCTTCATCTTTATGAATCTGTTCTCCTTTTATTCTGATTTATCCTTCGAGACTCGCAGTCAGAGGAGGATAAAGCGAGTATGGCTGGTGTATCGTAGGTTAATTTAAACTTTTAATTGAACTGACAATGATCTAGAAAGTCACCGCCAGTTGGAATTTACCAACTATAATGAATTAATCAGTAGTAATCGTCGACATGACTAACCGGAAGCTTCTTTCATTCTTTCTGCCCTTTGTCTCTCTCTCTCTCTCTCTCTCTCTCTCTCTCTCTCTCTCTCTCTCCTTGTGGTAGAACGAGTTCGAACATTTCCAGATTCCCAATGTTCTCAACACTCTCAGCCTCTTCCTCCCCTTATCCATTTCTTCCTGTTATCGTTTCTTCTCCTTCCTCTACAATCAGCTAGGCAGCCGCCTCGTCAGTGAAAATTTCAACGACTCTCTGACCGATCGATCACTCAGTGTCAGGTTTGCTAATTAAAGGAATGAAAAATGCTTCACATTATTTTCCGAGCAAGATTTTCGAAAATCCGATAAAAATAAATTGTCAATAAATTCTGAGAACGAATAAGATTCGATCGATCGTTTATTATAATTATTATCTGTGAACGTGCCACTCGTGCCTCTAGAGACGGAAATAATAATGACGAATGATCTAACAAAGTGCAGGAGTTACGCGACGTCACCTTCTTCTATCTTGACATTTTTGTAATCGGCTAATATTCCAGGTGATTCCTTGCGATAGCGCATTAGCGTTTGACCTCGTGACCCAGTGGAGGCGCACTGCAACCACACTTCAGGGCAACACCAAGACGGCGGAATTAATTAGCTCGCGAAAGAACGAAAGCTGAGGGAAGACTGAGAAGGCACTTTGGGCATCTCCTCGAAGTGTCCCAGCGGCACGTCCATGTCCGACCGACGTCCTCCGTGTCGTCTTAGCTCTTTTCTCTTGAAAATCTCTTAATATTCTCTCGAGTGCGCTGAGTAGCTCCGTTGCGAAATCTTCAAACACGGCACTTTAGCTAGAATCTCCGCGTCTACTCGCCTGTTTTTACGTGGCGAAGGTTCGACGTATCGACATTTCGACATTTCGACATTTCGACATTCTCGGCCGTCACGGCCGTCACGGCCGATCCGCCTCACGACTGACTGGAGGTTCGCTCCTTCGTCTGAATCGACAATCGATTAGAATTCGCTCGACCAATTCCGAAGTTCCGTCGTGAAGTTCGAAAGAGCCGAAATAGCCCTCGAGCGCACGATAGTGCGCTTTATGATTTATAACGAGGACGTAAACACCTCGTAGCCGGCTTAATGCGTAAATCAAAGAGCCTGAGTAGGACCATATGCGTGCCCACGCCTGTGCGCAACCGCATCAACCGTATCCAGATATCGCTTCTTACTACGTACGCTTCGCTGCGTAGCTACTTGACGAAATTTCGAAAGAAAAGAACCCGTAATGGAGTGCGACGCCACTGAGAGATGCAAAATAATGACTAATAAGAATCGATGAGCCTCCTATTGAAATTGTCGGAAGCCTTTTTATTTGAGTTAGGCAAACAGATTCCCTTTTTTTATCACTTGCCTGCGCCGTAAAGAACGACCGGCGTCGCTTCCCTTTTGTGGCTGGAACCTTCGACGGGGCTGACTGTGTGTAGCAGCAGCATTCGATGGCTGGGAAATAAAGGATCTCTTTGTAAATACAGTAAAAGACAGGGATCAAGGGAAACGAGATGCGAAGCAAGAAAGTGACGTGATGTATGGTACTATGGCTAAGAAATTGAGGAGGGTACTAGGTAGTAGATACAAATATTATATTTGGAATGAATGTTCCGAGGAGAAGCTCATTTCCGGATAGAAAACTTGAGACGAGGCTTCTTATGAGCCTGTGAGAATATCACGTAGGCTGATGACGTAACTCACACCGAACTGATGTTCGGTTATTGTTGCCACGAGGAAAATGAAAAGTATGGCGGGAACAGTCGTAGATATTTTAAAGAATGCGGAAAGAAGGGCGAGTACCGAAAAATGGAGACGGAAGAGGGAGATGGTTCGATCATCCTCCGATTAATGAAAACAGGCCTCTGCTGCCCATCCGAGCTATTAATTTCTCCCAATTAAATATTTAGAGTTTGTGCCGCGATGGGAATCGGAATACATTAGAAGGTTCGACGCGAGTGCTCGGTGGTCCATAGGTAGGTGTGTGGGTTTACGTCTTGCTAAGGTCGTGAGGTCGTGACATTGTGTGAGAGCATTACGCCAGGATGAAGCTGCCCACTTGATTAATCTGAGCGTGGTCAATATCGGTAAACAGAATTCACTGAATTAACAAACTTCGCATATTTCTATCTACTAGCTGATTATATTGTAATTAGGAAACGTATATTGTTTATACCAAAACTCTTCTCGGTTTTCTCTCTTCGCGCGTCTTGTGCTCGGATTCGTTTTGCCAAGACAGACCAGTCTCCTTTCCTCGAATTTCTCTCGAATAAATGGCAAATATATATTTACGCACAGTACATTAAGTCACCACTGTAATCACTATTTTAATTAAAGGAATTATGGCTCGAAGGAAACTCAAAGCTTCCGAAAGTCAGCGCGTTCCTGTATGGTTTTTTCTATGATTGACTTGAGATAAAGAAAATAAGGTATCACGGGACAGGCAATTCAATCATTGATTTTCTTCTCAAGATATACAACTCCAATTGGCCGAAACTCAAGCGATTCCCAATTATCAATAGACAGCTCGCTCTGAATCTTCCCCACGCTTCCACGCAGTCTCAGTCCCACTGAATGAATTAATTTCGAAAAACGAGTGCATCGATAAGTGCTCAAGGCCAACATTGACTTTTGGTGATTAGCAAGGAGGGTGAGGTCTTTATCGAGAGAGTTAATTATCCCCAACTCGACTGGGTCCACACTCCAGAGTTCAGGCGACCGCGCACACTCGCGCTGGAGTTACGTGTCACGCTGCTATCTGCCTACCCCCGCCCCCCCCCCCCCCCCC